CCCCTTCCCCCAGCCATCCTAATTTGAGACTTTCTTCCTTCCCATTCATATTTAAAATTAATTACCCCTCCTCCCTTCCCTTGTCCCTTAAAGTTTTTCCTCCCCACCTCAACTCCTGGAAGGACCTGTTTTGTGGCGGTGGTTAGCTGGGTAAAACAACAGGTATCCCTTTGTGTCAGGTGGGTCATTTGCAATTCCGAGAACCTCTAGACTGGGAGATAACCCCGCTCTGTTGTCCTCTTAACCTAAACAGGAACTCCTCTTTGCAGGGTTGCCGCAGCCCTTCATTACAGCTATAAAAGAATAAAAAGAACGGTGAAGAGGAAGAATGGACACAGTTGTCGTCAGATATTTGAGAATTATTCTTTGACACAGCCTAGTTTCATGTATTAAGATGGTTTCCTCTTCTGATTTTTATTTATAGTTACCATTTAGTTTTGATTCCCTAGGCAGAATTTTCAACAATTTTACTTTAAGAAAATTGTGATTGAGGGGTCTTCCCTGGTGGTCCAGTGGTTAAGGCTCTGTGCTTCCACTGCAGGGGGCATGGGTTTGATCCCTGATCTGGGAACTAAGATCCCGCATGATGCATGGTGCAGCCAAAAAAAAGAATTGTGGTTGAGTTTACCTCGGATTTAATGAATTGAATGTCTTCGAGGAAATTTAGCTTGTAAGGTGAATTTCATCTTCCTCTTTTAAAAAATTATATTGAATACTTTATTTAAAAATTCTCGAATAGACTTGTTGAAAGTTTTGTGGGAGGCAGGGTTTGATAGCTGTCCTTGGCTAGGCTGGGTTGCTGCTGTTGGTTTTCTCTATCCTACCCTGGAACAGAGCATTTCCTAGGTCAGCTTTTCACAACTCTTTACTTGGTTATTCAAAATTATTTCTGTAGCCAACTTATAGCCACTGAGTGGGGACAGGCATCCAAAAATATCTTCTACTTTCTAGCTTTAGGTTCCAGAATTAAAGCATCATCCCTCTTTCAAAAATATTTTTTAAAGGACCTAAGTTGAGAGGATGGCTGCCATGGCTGTATGTCATGAAGATCCTCGCAGCTTTATAAAAGCTGCAGATATGTAAAGCACATTCTAGAGAATCTTTTGTTTAGTTTTAGAATGTTTCGTAAAGGTGTAGGGAGTATTTGTGATAGATTGCCTTTTATAATTCAGTTTGGTTCTGGCTGGTAAAAATAAAATTTTACCAAGGACTTGTTCTGATGTTCAGGAGATGAGGCCCAAAGTGTGGTAGGGAGCAGAGAAAAGCCACTGTTGAGGTCTTTGCTCTGGGCAGTGCAGATAGTACCTTTTCTGTAAGCTTCCTGGTTCTTGTTATCTGTGCTCCTGCAGTTCTCTTCAGTGCAAGTTTCTCGTGAGATAGAAGCCAAATCTGATTTTTTTTTTTTCATAGCCTAGCATGGTGGCGTGCACACAGCTTAACAACAATAAATGATGAATTCTAATTCTCCTTTGACTTAATTTCTTGTCTACAATAGGAGAAGTTAAGGCTGCAAGGCCAAATCACAGAGGGGAGCAACATGATTAAAACAATTGCTTTTGGTCGCTATGAGCTTGATACGTGGTACCATTCTCCCTATCCCGAGGAATATGCACGACTGGGACGTCTTTACATGTGTGAATTCTGTTTAAAATACATGAAGAGCCAAACAATACTCCGCCGACACATGGTAAGTTGTTTGGGGGTCCATGACCATGGTGGTGATAAGCTATGGGATCTCTAGATTTAGACATCTATCTAAGCACCTCTAAGTGGTCCACAGAAGTGGGACTAAGGCACAGGAAATTGAAAGCCACATTTCAGAGTCTGGATATACAGCCTGTGGCAAGCCTGGGTGGCCCTTAACCACATCCTGTCATACTCATCTCCCTGTCTTTTTTTCTTGCTGCCTGCTCTTGTCTGTTTCTGCCTTGGGATGTGAATTACCTCTGCCCACAGTTTTTCTATGTCTCAACTAGATGAAAATAAATGGACTTCATTAGATAGACCTTCATTAGACAGAAATGGGATGTGACTCACCTTTTGTATCCCTAGCAGCTAGCATGGGCAGTTAATGCCCCATAAATGTGTGTTAAATGAACACTTGCTTAAGAAAGACCAATTACGAAATTAACAGAATGAGTCCTTAGGTCAGCCTCTCCCTTGAGTTGCTTAGTGTTTTCTGGTTTCTGAACAGTCTTATTCCTGTGAAAATAGGAATAAACACTTGAATCTGATTTTATTGTTGACAAATGTGCTCACTAGGGTATTTTGCAGTTTTAAGCCATTTTTCTTTCCCT